ACTTTCACCTAGCATAACATATACGCATAGAATGGCGTGTTTCAACAGGGGGCTGTGACGTCACATGACCTAGATTAATATTCATGTGTTTCTTACAAATTGGGCGCCGGATTTGAAATGGAATACGTTATTGAATGTATTTCTATGTATAAAAACGTTACTGAAGTTATAAAATTTGACTTCAATTGTCCTTTAATGACAGTTGGCTCGATGTAACATTTTTTGCATGAAACCAGGCGATCAGAGATGGCGTGATAGAAGCGACGATAAATCACATGAAGGGCTTCATGCAGTCGAAGGATAACATTGATATCTACTGTACGCGGGAGCCTCAGGCTGCCTTCCACCAGAGAATCAGCTTTTGCCTCGACATTCACAATCATTCAGTGAAGGTATACACTCGGTCTTTGCCCTGTTATTCTTTTTTGTGAAGTCATAATAGTCAAGTTAGGTATCGTAATTCCTACGCATTTCTATTAAAAATGAGTGCCATTTGTATAAATTGTCCGGTATCTCGAGCAATCCTTGGATGAAGTGTGAAGTTGTCAAATCACGTTAGCCGGTGTAGTATGTGATAGTTGCACTAACTTCTGTCTTCTGCAGTACCTTATATTGTGTTTGTGTCATTGTTTCATTTGTTTTTCAGGCAATGCGGTATCCTCCTAAATCTTACAATAAAGATTTGGAATCTGCTGAGGTAAGTCTTTTATGTCTTAACCAGACTAGAGTAAAAGTAAAGTTATAACATTCAGTAATTCATAAGAGCTGAAACCTCTCATGCTCTCTTATGTCTTAACCCGACTAGACTAAAAGTAAAGTTATAACAACATTTAGTAGTTCACAAGAGCTGAAATCTCTCATGCTCTCTTATGTCTTAACCCTGACTAGACTAAAAGTACAAGTGTATTAACAACATTTAGCGGGTTTAGGTTTTTTCAAAAAGCAAGAGCCCTGAAATCTCTCAGTGCTCGTCTTATGTCTTAGACCTGACTAGACTAAAAGTAAGAGTTGATAACAACATTTTAAGTGAGTTCCACAAGAGGCTGAGAATCCTCTTCGATGCTCTGCTTATGTCTTAAGCGCCGACTAGACTAAAACGTAAATTGTATAGACAACATTTAGTAATTCACGAAGAGCTGAAATCTCTCATGCCTCTCCCTTGCTGGTAAAGGTCGAATTTATTAAGAATTAATATATATTTTTAGATAGGAGCGCAGGCAGCGGAGAAACATGGAGGACTTGCGAAGATGCGCGCAAAAAGAACTCGCTAGAAGAGGACGATGAGGCATTTTAAGTACAGGTCTAGTTTAACTATGGCCCATTAATAAAATGTCTTTATATCAGATTGCCTTTACTGATGTGCGCGGGCCCATTTGACGAATTCTGCTCATGTTGTTTGGACGAAATGACCTTTTTGAAGCATCAAACTGACTTCATCCCATGTTTGTTTCGATAAAAATTGAATTGGCAAGTCCTTTGCCATACAGTACTCCTCAAAGGTATGCATATATTCAAATAGTTTACATAATAAATGTACAGTTAAAAGGAGCATTTCTTTGCGTCCGAATACTGAGAAATCGCAGCAGCATTTCCTGTTCATACAGAATAGACAACAACCGTATTTATGAAATCACATAGCCGACTCGCGATCACCCGCCAGAAACATGCAACATTGGCTGATGAATTGTACGTTGAATGCCACCGCAACGTCTCATATTTCTGCTTGTACAACTGAAAAAACTGTCTGCAATAAATTACAAGGGTTGTGTGGATGATAGAGATAGTTGTATATCAGCTGGGTGCTAGAATGATGTATGGGAATATTGCATCTTTTCATTAGGACGGGTGCTGGTTTCTCGATTGTTGTTTATTTTGTATCACTACCTTGTGCGTCTAGATAGACCGTACAAACGTTGTGAATGCATTATGCTAGCCCGCACACTAATCCGACCCGCAGCCAGTGATTTGAAGTGCGTTACGATCGGATGAGATGCTTCTAGTTTTGGCTCGGAGCGCTTAAGTCTGGGCTTCTGGAGGGTCATTTTGCGCCCGGATTCGAATTGAATCGGCGAGCAGATCGCGGTCGGATAGTCGTGCGGCGGCCTTACGACGCGACATCGGATAGTCGTGCGTTAGGCAATCCGACTCCGCTACCGCACCCGGGCGGTGGCTCGGCAACGACACCCCCTCCCCGCAACCAATCACCAGTGGACCAAGTTCGTCCATCCGCCCTACTCCGCATTCGAATGAATGTGCGTGTCGACACCTATGGTAAACACTCCCGACCCTTAAAGTATCACGCTAAAGTCCGGTGGAAAGCCACGAAGTGCCATCGGTTCTGCCGTCAACTTTGCAGTGCGCGCACGTGTGCCGGGTGGCTTCCGATCGATCCGGTCTCGTCCTCCTCGAGCCGAGTCTATAGTGGTGCGGGGGCTTAGTGGCCTGGTGCACAGTGGCAAATCGGAGTAGTGTGCCGGCATAGCATTTAGAATTTCTAATTCTGTGGCTCAAAAGTAGTAAATTGGCTTAAAGAAATTATTGACCTAGAATTACCAGCCATGTCAAGAGTGGTTGAGTGAGAGAGTCAATTTCGAAGAGGCAGAATCGAAATGTCTTGGCTAGAGGAAACGCCGGGTATAGATGGCAAAAACTTAGCTAAAGTGTTGCGAATATAACATTCAACATGTATAATCTTATGATATCTGCTTGACATTCAACATTGCATACAGAATGTACCTTGGACATCTTCGATCACATACGACATTGTATTATTCGTCATTTTTAAACGTCGGCCATCTCGATGAACCTGAAGTGATACCTGACATCAAGTTCCCTGAAAAGATTGGGCAATGTTGATAAAAGTCTGTGCTGATCACAGCAGTGTGAAACCAGATCGTTGCATTTTAGCCATAGCCACCTCGCAACGGGCGTTTTGAAAAGAATTACGCAATGCCCACATTTCAAATGTAGGACCTGAGAAAAAGTCAACATTTCCTAAAATTACTGTTACGATAATGCGAAAACTCGTATCGTCTGGTTGCTATAACAGGTTGATGAAGTGTGGAACGGGTCGGACAAAGTATCATGACAATCATATGATTCGTGAATGTTATATTTTACACAGGTAGCAGTACAGTGTAATATGGATAGAAACATCATTCTTTGCCTCGTTAGCATAGCAATAGCGGCTTCCCACTTCAGTGGCGTAGCTAGGATTTTTTTAGCGGGGTGGCACTGGGGGGCCTTACATTTTCGTGGGGGGGGGGGCACAATATATAACTTTTCTTTGTATTATACTGTTCTAACGGCATTGTTTTTAATTCAATTTTTTTTTTATCAAAGCATTTTTGAAAATTCAGTGTGGGGGGGGCACCTGGGGGGCACCGAAAATTTGTGGACCCCCGTAGCTACGCCCCTGTTTCCATTCCATGGTATTTGAAATGACTGGCCGTTTACCTGACAAATCAACGAAAACCTGTGATTTTTTATTTGAACGTTGTTGACGTTGACGTTTTTTGACGTCAGTACAATACTGTTGCAAAAGGCAGCAAAATTGAAGTATTTAAACAACAATATCAACTGCAAGAATATTAAATAACGACAAAATATAGCTATAATAGAGTCAGGAGTTATAGCTCGAATATTGCGGACATAATTATCCACTATAAAAAATAACCTAACAATATTGAGTTTAATATGAGCTCATTTTACCCTGCATTGCCAGTAACCAACAGTCTCCATATAAGCGCGTGATTTCTGTTTTGTTAGATAACCGAAAAGTACATCCGTATAAATGCGAATAAGTATAATAATATAAATATAAATACAGTGAAATGCGCGTGTTACTGGTATCGCACGAGATTTCGTCGTCATCGCCGTTGTGATGGATTGAGACTAGGAGTTTAAGCGGCTTTATTAAACCTATTGATTCAGTCTAGATGAAACTGGCCGTTGAATCGCGATCCACTACGAGCGTCGCTGCGAGAATTGCGTTTATTTAGTAGGTAGAGAGTCGTAGAGTATTGAGTAGGTAGAGTAGTAGTAGTATCGAGGTAGGGCTCGATCTTATGGGTACACATTGAGTACACGTCCAGTGAGCGTATTATATAAGATTACATTAGAATCATAATGATAAAAAATATGATATAAAATGAAGATAGGTAGACAATGATTGTATATGAATGCCTATGCAGCGCCTAATATGAACGGTTAACAGGGGGCATGAAAACAAGGTCCTATAAGTTGAAGATTGTTTTATAGATGATAGAAACAGTATGCATGTATATATATATATATATATA